AAGGGGATGATTCAACTGGGGCTTCAATTAGAACACTGACACCTGTGGTGTCTCCCAAAGAAATGCATCTCTGGTCGTATTTTCCTTTTCCCACTTCTAAACATCTGTAAGGTATTGATTAACTGTGCCCAGCAATGAATGATTGTACAGCTTTTTCAACCCAGAAGTGGCTTTTCAAATACTTAGCAACTTGAGGTCACAAGAAAGTTTTGTTTTGAAGTTTGGAGAGGTTTTTCTACAGAGCACGTGTGCTCGCCAGAGACAGAGAGACAGAAAGCAAGAAATCACCCCCCAGGGGGGATGGCCACACCACAATCCCTTCTCCTCCATTCTCCTCTCAGGATCTTGGGCACGCGCACATGCGCCCGGCGTGAGTTTAAGCCACCGGGTCCGGGACTCAACCCACGGTGGACTACATGGGAGTTCAGCGACATAGCCATTACGCTAACTGCTGGTTCCACAAGAAAGTTTTTAAAGTCCGTTTAGAAGTATGCTAGACTGGGGGAAGTGTGATGATTAAGGAGCTGAACACTCCCACATAGTCAACCACAGTTTGAGTCTCGGACCTGGCAACTTGATTTCTCACGTTCTTGTTTTCTCTCTGTGTGTCTCTCTCGATTTCTCACATTCTTGTTTTCTCTGTGTGTGTCTCTCTGGTCAAATTAAAATAAATGAATGAATCTTTTTTTTTTTTTAAAGTATGCTAAACTGATTAGCAAATAGACCCATGGGCATTCGAAGTCCATTAGGGGACCAGCAGTTGTATAATGGCTATGTCGCTGGACTCCCCTGCAGCTGACCGCAGTTCAAGTCCTGGACCCGATGACTTAAACTCACTCTGGGCGCACAAGTGTGCATGCCCAAGATCCCGAGAGGAGAATGGAGGAAAAGGGATTGCAGTATGGCCATCCCCCCTGGGGGGTGATTTCTCACTTTCTGTCTCTGTCTCTCTCTGACTTTCTGGCGAACACACACACCCTATAGCAAAAACCTCTCCAAAAAAAAAAAAAAAGTGGAAAAAAAAAAAAAGGTCCATTAGGATAAACTTCTTTGGGGGAAATGGATAGAAAAGAAAGGAAGGATGGAAATCCCCACATAGCTCATTTCTCTATGTGTCAATGAAAGGTGGGGATCAGGCATGCTGGTTTACACGGCAGTGGATGCAGTTAGAGCTGTGCAGCAGTAACTTTTAAAATATTAGTATTGACCTCACAGAGGAGGTACTGTGCTCTTTAGAAATATTTAAACCTACAAAGAAAGATTTTAATTATTGACTACACGCAGTCAGTAAATAGTTACTGGCAGAATCCTTAAGTGGATATCACAGCGTTTGGAGTACAATTCTTTTCAGCCTTGCTGGTTACCTGAATTTTTCATAAGAAAATGTTGCAGAAAATGTGTAAGAAGACAAAGTTTAAAAAAATGTTTTTCAGGGAAAAGAAAAAGATTATCTGCAAAAGCCCTGCCCAGCCGGGCCACTGGAAGAGCAACCATTGCTCACCTAATGGATGCCTCCTGGTGAGTCCTCCCCAGGTGAGGCCTAAATTAAGCAACCCAGGATTTTCTCCAACTGTCCTTCTTAAAAACTTGAGGTTTCTCAAAGCGTGCTCCCAGAGCTCTTGGGGCAGTCTCCCTGTAGGGAACTCCAGAACTGCATCTAGAGACATCAGACATCTGGGGAGAGCAGGCAGGGGCCCTTCTACACCTGCAGCACATCACTGGGAATCCCAGCCTCAGATTAGGAATTAGTGGCCAGATTCAGCCCTCAACCTCCCCTCACCCCCAAGCTACCCCGACAGAGAGCCCTGGGAGCAGGCCTTGGGGAAAGGCACCCAATAAGTCTTTGAACACTCCCTGATGCTTCTGCTGCCAATTCTGGGCTCTGCGCTGTGAGCTGGCAGCCAATCAGGGGGGGTCCGACTTTCTGCTGCCCACAAACTCCTGGCAGCCCAGCAGGCTTTTAAGAGCTTAATGTCCCAGGAAGCAGCATGTGCTTCAGCCCGCCCCTCCCAGGAACACACACATCCAGAGTGACCGGGCCCTGTCCTGGAGCCCTGGGCCAGCTTTGGGCACTGGGTTGGGCACAGCTTCCCCCTCGCAGTGAAGACTAGAAACCCCTTAAATGGGGGGAAGACTTATGTCAGATGCATCTGCCAGCCACAGACCAGATTTGGGTTTATCACTGGAAGGTCAGTGAGGGTCAATTAGCCGCCTCAAACCATTTCCTGCATCTGCTTTGAACAGTAAAAACACAACATCCATCACATCAAGGAGTCTGATCAGAAATTTCAGTTTCCACCCGCTGACTCCTCTAACTCCATTTCACACCACAGGAACAAGACGACTGATTTTCTAGCTGTGGCCTGGTTGTATTATCCGGTAGGGGAGGTCCATTTCACTATGGGGTGGGGATTAAGGGCTGGGCTCTCCCAGGCTGTCCGGGGTACAATCCCAGCCCCTCCATGCACTAGCTGTGTGACCTGGGGTTACTGGCTTCTCTTCTCAACTTCAGGCTGTAAAATGGGAATAATAAATCAATCCACCGCCCCTCTCTCGTCTTGTGAGATTAAACTGAGGTAATAAATAGCAACCGTGTAACATGAATGCCAAGGAGAAAGAACACTCAGAGAGGACGGCTGTTCCTGCTGCAGCTGCCCATGCTGCTGTTACTATTGCTGTTACTATTACTGTAACTCCTGGTGGCTCCTTCCCCACCCCTGAAACAATGACTATATCACTTCTGCTAGGGGGCACACTTCCGGCCAGGGGAAGGCAAACAACCCAAACTTCTTCCAGATGTTTTTGAACCCCCACCAAGTGCCCGGCAACATCCAAGGTCACCTCTGTCACAAACCCCACTGCACGGTGCACCAGTTGCTCTTCTTCATCCCTATCAGCCCAGGAGCTACAAGGGCAGCCACCTGTGGCCACTCCAGGCTGGCATACAGCAGCAGGCCCTCGGGTGGCTGTGCTGAGCTCAGGTTGCTGCAACACAGCAACATGCAGAAAATCCATCATAACATGGATTGCCTTGAATGCCAGGCCTCTCTTTTCAGGTGGGCAAGGTAGGTGTGATGGCTAGGACACAAGGTCATGGGGGTGGTATGCCTCCAAGCTCCAGGCCGGTCACTGATCAACGATGAACCTTCCTGTCTCACCCCACTCGCTCAGGCAAATAAAGTTTGACCCTTTCACCAGATGTGCCTTGTTTTCACCTACTAGTGGCAGAAAAACTGCAAACACGGTTGCCTTTGAGATGCTTTGGACATCCTTAAGCACCAAGAATCCTGGGTGGGTGCCTAACACGGAGTAGGTTCTTGTGAGGATCTGGATCCAGGTTGAACCTGCCAGCTGGATTTCCAGGGTCGTCAAGAACTTTCTGCGGTCAGGTCAGCAAAGTGGAGGGTCAAATCCCAGGTAGATACCAAAGGGCACCCCCCTACGGAGGACTCCCGAAATTACCTCTTGGCATCTTGAAGCTTAACTAATTAGCTGATTGACCTCATTAACGTTCGAACTTGAGTTGCAAACGAAAATGAGGTCAGGCAACTATCCAATTTACAACCTTGAATTTCCACCCGGAAACCACATTATTTTCGGATGGCCTATGAGGACTCCCAGGACTGTGCCCGCAGTTACCGGGTCCCTGAGGGCCTGGAGTACTCCGGCCTGAACCGCCACCTGCTGGGCCCCAGAGCCTTCTCAGAGCCAGCCACCCCAGCCCCTTTAAAAGCTCGGCTGCAAAAACCCACCATCACTAGCACCGGCTTCTGCCCCTCTGGGGCTTCCAGCCCCGCAGAGTATACGAACTTCAGCCGCGCGCCCACCCACCAGGAACAAGAAGTCCAGGCGCAGACCCGCTAGAGGGTCTGTTCTCCACAGCCCCCGCACCCTCTGAACCCGAGCGGCGAGGTCCACGCTGCCCCTCACCCTCCGAACCCACGCGAAGAGGGTCGCTGCGGGGTCGCACCTGCTCGCTCAGTCCGGCAGCTCCAGTCCAGGTGGCGAGTGAGTGGTCGGCGTCTCCAGAGCGCGCCCTGCGCCCGGGCCGCAGGGTGGAGGAGCCTGGGCCGCCAGCTGCGCGGGCGGAGCTGCCCCGCCGCCCGGGAGGAGGGATGCCCGGGCGAAAGTTGCCAGGGAAACTTGAGCAACTCGAGCGCGCCGGTGCCAGCCTCGTGCATAATTCACCGGTGGTGGCGGCCCGGGGGGGGGGGCTGCACCGGCCAGATTCCCCTACCCTGGTTGAGGATCGCGGCGGGCAGGGGTTGGGCACCCCGCGGGGGCTCCGGGTGACCAGAATGCCCAACCCTTCATTCCCGGGCTTGCTCCGCGTGCGCCAGTCTCGGCCTCCTTCACTCCTGCCGCAGCCGCGCTCGCCTGCACAGGGGCTCTGGGCTTCGGGCTGGGGTGACCGCAGCGAAGTCTCCAGGGACCTTGCGATCACTAAGCGGGTCCCCGCCCCCTGCGCGCCCCCTAGCGGCCCGGTACCGGCTTTTGCCCTAGCGCCCCTGTACCGGCTTCTCCGCCAAGCTTTCTGGCCCAGGTCTCCGGCTGGGGGGCGGCGACCTAGGGCAATCAGGCTCAGCGCGGGGTAGAGGTTGGTCCACCTGCGCAATCTCACTGCATGGGGCAGAAAGCCGTAGAGGTGGTTGGGGTTCACGCTCGCTGGAAACAAAAGGGGGTGCGCTCTGCGCACATGCAGCTTCCAAAGCTTTTTCAAAGGGTCCCTGCCCGGGCAGAAAGCTGGGGGTGTGGAGGGATCTCTAAAGAGAAGCGACCACCACTTGAACGCGAAGACCTGCCCCCAACACACAACCTAGCTTCCTGGGGCCAGGACTGCTCTTAACCGGTAGTGGGTGCAACTGGAATTCAGACGCACCCAAAATGCCGTCAGTGAGCAGAATCGGGTGCCCAGGGGCCACTTACTATCCTTCCCGGCCCGCCTGGGGTGCCCCAGCCACCCCCGCCCCGCGCCCGCAGCGCCCCGCGCCCCGCCTTACCTGACTGCAAGTCGGGGGCAGGTCGGGATCCCTAGGGAGGTCAGGTGTCCGGGAGGTGGGGGGAACGCGCGGCCCCGCCCCGCGCCGCAGCGGGTGGCCGGGGGCTCCTAGGAGGGG